GTGTGTGAGAGTGTGTATAAATGTGTGTGATTCTTGCCAGGCTTTTATTTTGCCGTCAAATTTCGACCGGTTTAGCTATGGCTCGAGCTAAGTGCTTAAATATTAATAATGTAATATTGCAGCAGCCAGACACGCCCAATAGGGCAAACGAAGAAATGAGCATACTAAAGATTAATGCTAATGCATTTTTGCATGCCCACCCATATCCTGCATATCCTGTATCCTATGTATGTCCTGTGTGTCCTCACGTTCTATTCCAATTTCCGAGTGCAATTAGTTGTGTGAATAATTGTTAAGACCTTTGTTCGTTTTTCCCCCCCCAACCATATGGGGAATTTGCTTATGAATATTTGTTAAGCCAGTGCAGCCAGTGCAGCCACTGCCACAGTGCATGTCGAATGTTGTTTAACTGCCTTTTTGTTCGATAAATGAAAGATGAGCACAAACACTGCTGGGACAGCTCAACGTAGCTTCAATAAATCTCAAGCAATTGTCGCCTGACAACTTATCTTCGATATATGTGCGAAATAAACGTTTAAAATGTCTGCTTTCATCTCAGATGAACACTAATTTTAATTGAGCCTTTTCCAAACAACAAACAAGTTAGAAACGTTGGAGTCTGGCGTAACCGACAGCAGCATACTCTGCCACCAGTCTGATATCAGCGCGGAATTTTCATTAATGTGCCTTTTGAATTTGGTGCGCTTTGAGCTCTGAAGAATCATTAATGTGCCTTCTGGTGTCTCCAACTCTAAAATTACGGGAAATAAAGGACTCCCGAATTTTGGGGGTAGGCTGGGCGTTGCAAGGAAAGTTTGTTACCAGTCTTCATAAGAATTTCCTTGTTATCCACGTTCTAACATTTTTGGAGGTGGTTTTATTGATTTTTAGTAACGTCAGCTCAAAAATTGTCGAAGATATGGGGCAGAGGAAAGGCCGGTGTAGATAGCTTACATATTTAATTTTTTGGATTTTGGAAGAAGCTTTGCATTTTATGTTTTGAAATTGTTTATTTCAAATTGTTTAAGATATGCAATATGATCAAATTGCACTTGGAAATATATCAATTTTTGTATCCAGCCACTTTTATTCTAAGTTTATTAATTTAGAGACCTGAGTTCCAAATATTATTATGTTCTTTGGATGTCTCAAGATAATTTTATTTATTTTATTTATCCAACTTTCTATCTTAAAGGTTAAATCAGTTTTGCTCATTCAAAGAAATGGTGTACAAAATTAGGATAGACAGACTGACGAACAGACTGATATGTCTATATCGACTCGTCTGGCGATGCTGATCCAGCATGTATATATAATTTGTGTTCGGAGACGTCTCTTTAAATGCATGACAAACATTATAACAAAATTGCAATAACCGCCACAAGTGTATAAAAATCAAAATATTTATTTGCCAAGCTGCAATTTGTAGCAAAAATAATCATAATCGTAACTATTGCTCATTTCTGTCATTAAATTAATAAATAAAAGCCGTAAAGTGAAAACACAATTACCACAAGATACACACACACACACACACACACACAAACAGATAGCTGTAGTATCCCAAATGACAAATCCAAGAGAATAATTTATTGGCTTTAACACCTTTTTTTCCATTTATTTTATTACTATTTTGTTTTTTTTTTGTGGGCACTACAAGCGGGGAAAGCAAATGTGGCACGGGTGGTGGATTTGCGCATACCTACAAAAGTCAGGGGGGTGGTGAGTGCAACATGAAAAACTATTAGCACTTTCAAATTTTAAGCGGATTAAGTTGAGGCAGTTTAAGGGATATATGTACATACTGCAAATAGGGGTGGCTGTTGTCGCATCTGGTCAAACCATTCGGGCCAAAAACTCAAACAACAAATGCCAGCTGAGAACTGAGCCTTCTCCGCTTTTGCCGAAATTCAACTAATTTGCGGGCAGACAAACAGAAAAAAAAAACAGACAAAATTAACCGCAGTAAAGCAAATAAACAAAACAAAAAAATTGAGCATGAAAAAAAATGTGAAAATATGTGCGAGAGGTGGGCGGGGTGGGGCGTGGTCGCTTCAATGCGGCTGTTTACATTGCAAAAAGCATTCGAGTGCAGCGCAAACAACATTGAGCAACAACAACCTCAACTGGCAACTGACAACAACAACTGATAACAACAACTGCCAACAGATTGGCCTTGCAACATGGAGTTGCCACCGCACGCATACCCTCTGCGACCCACGTGATTCATGTAGGCTGAATACTTGCAGCACCCGCTCTCTTAAGCCCACCAATAGCATCCCTATTGTTGTTGTTGATGTTGTTCCTGCTGCTGCTGCTGCTGTTGTCAATTCAATTCAATTGTTTTGCCTTTTTGCGCAAATGTCCGGCAATCACAGCGCGGCTTGTTTGTCTGCCGCTTGTTTATTTGTTTGCCCATTTTGTAGTTGTTCTTCTACTTTTCGCTGCCCCCCCTGGCCGCTCCTTCAACTGTTATCAATTGGTTCCGTCCCACGACATCCGTGCTGCCCATCTGGTGTCGACTCCACCTCCACCACGTGTGTATGTAAGTGAGCGACAGTCAAGGGAAATGAAAGTGACACGGAGCGGGAGCAGCTTAGCTGAGCTGAACTGAGTGCACCAACCATCTCTCGAAGGACTCGCTCTGATCTGATATATAGCATATATATACAAAATTGAAGCCCTTTATATATTAGCATAAATTCAAAATTCACTAAGATTGCCTTGCCTCCAAACCAAAAAAAAAATAATTCTTTTCTGGGAAGCATAAATAACTCAAGTCATATTTTAAAAAAAAAAGTGGCAAACTTTAAAAGAGCCACAGTGCAATATTTATTTTGGAATTCTGAAAAAAAAAATGTATATGATTTTCAAACGAATTACAAATTTGTAGGCCTTCAAAGCAAAAGAAAAAAATATAATTTCATATTTATATCTAGAAAACAGAAATACTTCATTATTTTATTTTTTACGATTTTAGAAAAATGTTAGAAACATTTTTGGTTGTTTTTCCAATAATTACATTTTTAAATCACTTAGATTGCTTGCCTCAAATTGAAGGAAAACAAATAATTGACATTTCAGCTTTACAAATATATTGCGTATTTTCTGTTTGTTTTTAAGAAATATATTTCATTTACAATTTACAACAATTTTAAGAATTCAAAAATTCAATTTTTATCTTGCAGTTTTTAAATATTTAATATGTTTCTAGAAATAATTCAACAAATCGCCCGAAAACTATTTGGTTTGTTTGTTTTCTTAAAATCGAATTCTTGACTCAAATATTTTACAATCCAATTTTTTTTTAGGACTTCATTTATTTGATTTTTGAATATATTATCGTAGTAGATCTTATATATAAATACACTTTCCTCTGACTCCAACACAAAATACTAAATCAAAATCTGTATTTTTTTTCATAATATATGGTTCATCATCATGCTCTCAAATGCGAACTTGAATATTAAGAAAGTCAAAATCGTAGTTTGTTAAATTTGACTTTTAGTTATTTGGTTTTTTCGAGTAAATTCATTTACTAAACGGGTCTGGCTATATTTAGGCTTACAATATTAATTGTACATATGTAAATTTCTGAAATCCCCCCAAAAGTTTCAACGGTTAAAATAAAGTGCTGATGCTGATGCTGATGGTGATGGTGATGGTGATGTTGATGCTGTTGTTTGTTACACATTTGCCCCGATAAACCTGTCAAATTGCGGTTGATGTTCAATTTTCGGCAAGCAAAAATAATTATGGAAAACTGACTGACCAACAAAAACAACCGCAATTTTCTCTGTATTCGGAAAATGATGAGTGGCACAGCTGGTCACCTTTCGCTGTCTGCGGCAGCATCTATGACTTTATTTATGCAAATTTTTGTTACGAAACCAGCAACGGAGATTTAGTCTTCATGTTTTCCCCAAAAAAAAAAAAAAAATCTGAAAAAATCGTAAAAAAAAAGGTGGAAAAATGTTGAAATTAATTTCACGACGGCTTTTGTATGCTGCGTACATATTTTTGCCTCACTCTACAGAACAATATCATATTTTGCGTGACGCTGTTGTTGCTACTGCCGCTGGCCCTGTCTCTTGCCTCTTGCCTCTTGCCTCATGCCTCCTGTCACTGCCTTTGAGTCTGCCTCTGCGTCTGCTTTTGTTTATAATCCTGACCTGTGGACTTTTTCGGTATTGCCATCATCATCATCATCATCAGCATATAACGACATTTTATAAAGGTTTTCATTCAGTTCCGCGAACAACATTAACAACAAAAACAACAACAATAAACTGCTAGCGACTGTTCTTATCAGGCTGACCCGTGGTGTAGTTTGCTGTTGAGGTTGGGGTTTGTCTCATCTGCGCCTCTGTTTAGTTTTAATTACACGCGACTCTGCTTTGCTGGTCATGCACCGTTATTTTGTGGCATGTGACAGGAGCGGGTTGAGGACGAGACAACTGCGTTTGAGCACAACAAAATGTTTGCAGCGAACATGTTGCAGGCAACTTGCCGAGGGTTGCAAATGAAAATTACCCCTCATCACAAGGGAAATAAATTCGGAGTCAGTGAAGAAATTTTACTCACAGAGAGAGAGCGAGAGAGAGGGGGAGAAAGAAATTTATGTTTTACTTAAGTACATTTAATAGTATTATTATAACTTAAAAAGTACTTTAGCTTAAAATAATAAATACAAAATACGAGTAATAAATAAAAATATATTCTAACATTTTTGTTCGACGATCGCCGTGGGAAAAATTCCTAAAAGCTGTCATTGGCCGATTGACGAACTACTCCTTGTCGCCCAGTTGAATTCGCCGCGATTGCCTGTTGTGCTCGCTCTCGTTGCCAGTTGCCAGAGTCAAGCCGACTTGAGCCGACAGCACACGAAGCATGGCGCACGAGTGTCTCGAAACGAACAAATAACGTTAATCGGCAACACGCGCTCAGCAAAAAGCGTTTAGTAGAAAGTGAACTCTTACACAAAGTTGACACGCTGCGCGCGCGTTCGCGTTTTACAAACAGCTCCTGCCTCAGACAAAAGATGCATGCAACTTGAGTTTGGTAGACGCTACAGATACTCAGATACAGATACTTAATCACAAAGTGCGAAGCAATTTCGCTTCATGAGTTAATTAATGTGTGCAAGTGATTAACTATTTCTGTGTGTGTGTGCTAAACTAACCTAAACTAACTAAGTTAATAACTAATTAACTAACTGCTAAAACATAACATTATCTTGAGGATTACTTAAACGCATACATAAAAAGTTGCTAATAATAAATACGTGATTGTGCTTATTTTCTGGCTCTTACCAACAATAAGGTAATCATTTGCAGTGTATATGAAAAAAAAATTATTAGTTGTCATCATACTGATTTTTATTTATTTAAATAAATAAATATAAAACTACAAAATGTATAAATTAAAAAATATTAAAAATATAACTCATAATAAATAAGTGTTTGTGGGTATTTTTGGCTCAAACTTTTTGGGAAAACTTTTGCAGTGTATATAAAAATATGAAAGTTAATTATTGTCATCATTTTTATTTCATTTCATTATTAAGAAATCTCAATTAAAAATCTTTTTTTTTTTATAATTAATGAGTTCCCTGGTCTTAAGAATGTGAGAATCGTATGCAACATTCACTTGAGGATTACTTAAATTATTAAGTGTAATTAATATGACAATAGTTATTTAAAAATAAATAAACATAAAAAAGACTTTACCTAAAATAGATAATTAAGAAATATTAAAAATATAACTACTTAAAAGTATTGAGAAAAATTAAGTACTTAATTTGAGTGCATTGAAGTGCAAAACATTATTAAAAAAGAAAATATATTATATACTTGCAATTATTTAAACTGACATCGAATTGCACAAACACACACACAAGAGAGATAGACAGAGAGAGAGCGAGAGAGGGAGAGAGAGAGAGAGAGGAGCTACTCGTATAAAATACACCTTGGCAAAGCGCACTGAATATCGCATTAAGGATATAAACGTGTACGTGCTAAAGAGACAAAACCAGCCAACTTTGGCCAACTTGGCCAAGTCATCCAAGTCAGCCAGCCAAGTTAGGCCGGCAGTGTTTACATTTTAGATTTTATGAGATAATACCCCCAAAACACAATAAACACCCAGAATCAACCCAGCAAAACGAAGCAAAAATAAAATCATGAGTCTGGCAAGGGGGGTGGTAAGTGGGTGTAGAGGAGGGGTGGGGGCGGTAGGGAGCAACCGCGAAAGACGCAGAGAAATGTGCATTGCTTGCCACATTTACGGCTGCCAAATAAATACAGCAACAATAACACGGCAACAATAAAAACGCCAACGTCTCAGCCACAAAACACACACTCACAAAACTTGGCCCACAACGCGTGCGAATATATATATATATAAATATATATATACATATGTATATATATACATATATATGTTAAATGTAACAAAACCAATTTTCATTGTTTAGCCGTGGGACGCTTTGTGGCCCGAAAAGAGGCGCCAAAATGCGAGAAACCAAAAAGTAAAGCTGAAATTTCCATCAAGAAATAGAAAATGACATAGAAAAAAAGCGACGACGACGTGTGAAAAGAAAGCAAAAGCAAAGCAAAAACACATCCATATGTCTGAGACAAAATACATATATATATATATATATATATATGTGTATATACGCATATGCAGACAAAGGATATTGGCTAACACACCCACACCCACACACACACACACATACGAGCTGACACTCTTATTTGATATTCTTTCCTGCACATTTGGATTTTTGCCTATTTTGTCTACTTTTTGTGTTTTGGTATTTTTCTATTTAGTTATGTTAATGCTAATGGCAATAAATACATGCGGGAATTTACAGTTGAGACGAGCCAAGCACCAAATAATCCTTAATTATTAGTAGCGACTTAATTTCAGCACGCCTTCTCTCTCCCTCCCTCTCACTCTTTCTCTCTCACTCCCTCTCTCTGTCTGTCTGTTTCGCTTGCTCAGTCAGCTCTACTTGGGCCGCTACTTGCCTCAATGTGGTGCATAAATAAGTCGTTTGCAGCTGTTGGTTTGCCATTTATTTGAGTGCCCGATTAGGCCAACAGCCTACGAATTGTTTTTGGTGCGCATCTCAATTTTGTTAGTCGCGGCATTCGTTGCGGTTGTCTTAGATGTGGCTAACTTGCCTAACCACATACAGGATTGCCACAACACACTCACACACACACTCTCACACATACATCCGCATACACTTCCGCAAAAATCAGGCTTTTAATTCGGAAAAATGTTTTACGAACTGATACAAATATTATTTTTTACGAAATAAATTCGAAATACTTGCAAAATTAATTCTAATGATACAAATTAATAATCTTTAATTCTGCCTACTTTTACTAAATATTTTCTATGTTTAAGTAACATATTTCTTTATTATAATATGAAACAACTCAAAAAAAAATTCAATAAAACATTCAATTTTTTGTTTTGCTTTTTAGAGTGATTAAAAAAACTATTTATATACAATTCTCTTGCAAATTTCTTTATGAAACTGAATAAAATATTTAAATTTGTAAGTTTATCTTTGCAATTATAAAACTAAATATAAAGTAAAATATTTCATTTGGCGTTTATTTATTTCTTCTCTTTGGAAATTCTATTTTCTAAATTCTAAATAATAATTTATATCAGATCGTTATACTTTATCAAATCCATATCTTTTCAGCTCACTTTTTTTTTTGAGTGTAGGCAGAGACACGCACAGTCGACTGACTATCTGTCGCCTAATGCAATTGATTTGTGTCGACTAATTCGGTTGGGGTCGTTTATTATTTTACTGTAGGAGACCTACACACACACGTCACACACACACACACACACACACACACACACACACTCACACACACACACACACATGTACTAGGCACTAACCTCTTAACAAGGCAGAACCTGTCAAGCACTGTGGAGGCAACTGCCAGTCTTAATTCCATTAGCACAGTCATAGCCAAAGCAATAGCACCACTCCATGGCGATGCCTTTGTTTCACTTCATTTTATTTCAGCTTCATTGGTTTTTCTTAGCCCCAATTTTTCCACACACACCCACACACACATACACACTGGCACCGAAAAATTGATTGATAATCAATTGAGAGGATTTTCTTACGCCTACGACTTGCGTTCGCATTTCTTTTCCTTTTCCCACAATTTTCGTGGCTCTTTTGTCTAGCTGCGGTTTTGGGCTTTTTTTTCTACTTTGTCTACTTTTGGATTTTCTGGTACATGATACGCTTTAATCTGCTCGCGGGGCATGGTGGGTGGGTGTGGGTGGCAGCTGGCCGAAGTGGTGCATATGTGGTGGTCATGCCACAAGTTGTTCTCGACTCTCAGCTTGATTTTCCTGTTGCTCTGCTGCCTTTGTTTTGCCGCCGGTCCTCTTGTTGTTGGGGGGGCATTAAGCGCTTTAAGTAATTTATAAACGCCTTTGACTCGGCAAAAACGAAGCGAAACAAAACAAAACAAAACAAAAGCAATAACAATTCTATTGGATTGGTTATTTTCCGTTCACTTTGGCAAGTCTCTATTTTTTTTATCGCCTGCCTTCAACTGGCATCTGTATTGTAATTGTTAGGCTTTGCTGTCTGTCTGACAATGAGTTTTCTTTGTCTTAATTTAATACGATTAGTCAGTTAACTAACCAGGCCAACTAGCACTCAGCCATGTTACACTTAAAAGTGAAATTTCCTCTTTGTTTCATTTCATCTCGAAATTAAATACTTAAAACATTGTGATATCACTCAATTAATTACTTTAACTGTCTATAATTTTATAGACATTTAAATCAAGGCCACAACAAAAATATATGTTTAATTCATAAAATAAATTTAATTTTCCTGTGTTCATCAAGTCATAATATGATTTTTCAGTTTGCTGCATTTATTGCAACATCTTTTTTTTTGTGTACAACTTTTGCATTCAATCATCGCAAGTGAAAATTAAGTTCCTTTGTAAAATGTTCCTGCAACATTTTGTAAGCCTTTATAGTAACAGTGTTCTCTTAATGTCCACATTCATTTAGACCCATGTTTTGTGCTAAAATTAGATCTGAAAATGTGATATTAGATCGAAACTCATGTTATATATTCAACCCGAAACAAGCATACAGACATGGGACCAATCTGATAAAAGTGTCCAACTGAATGAATAGTGCATTGGCAATTTGAAATTTCGTTAAATTTAGTTAAATATTTCATATGATTTTCACTCGAACACTCGCTCAACAATGTGGAGTAAATTGAGCAGAAATTTGCAAACAACAAAAATATTTCATCGATTTTGAATAGGCGCACAAATATGCATTTGAAAATTTAATTTTCTTATAAATAATAATAATAAATGTTCATTAAGTTAATATTGGAACTTCTCATTGTGCTCGCTAAGGCTACATTTTGCCACATTAAATTCTTTCTTGTTCTTTTTGTCACTTGGCAGTCATTTATTTCATTGCAAGTTTCAAGTTTATTAATAAAGTTTGTCATCTACTAATGCGATGCTTGCAACAAGAAAAGTACTGCCACGGATGCAAAATTTATTTGTAAGAAACAATATATATATTTATATATATTATTGCTCTGTTCTACTTTCGTGTCTTGTCACATTGTATATTTAATATAATTTTTTTTTGGGGGAAGGCGTATGAGCCCGTTCAGCGGTAGTTGTTATAAAGTTTTTAATTAAATTTCATTCTGGCTTTCTGAATGACTCTGTCGCTGTTCTGAATGTTTGTGTGTCAGCATTTCCTTTGCCATTTTCTCGTAGCCAGTAATGTATGCCACCGTTGAGTTCTCTCTCATCTCTGACTGCTCCTGTTTCTCCGTCTCAGACTCAGTTTTGCCCAACAGAAGACAGTTGTTGTTGTTGCTGTTGCTGTTGGCGTTTCTGTTGCCTGGCTGGCAACCTTTCTTTTGGCCCGACTTGGCTATCATTATTACAATATTTGTAAATGCTCAACGGGGCATGGCACCAAATATTTAGTCGCTCTTTGCTTGTGTACCCAAAATATTTGCGCACAAAGTTAAAATGCTTCAGCTTCAAGTTTTGGCATGTGCTCTAGTCTTAAATTGGTATTGGTTTACATGCGGCGGCTGCTGCTGCTGCTGCTGCAGCTGTTCGTCTTCACAGGCCACTTTAAAAAATGTTAAAGCCCAGGCAAATAAGTTGAAGACGAAGAAGAAGAAGAAGAGTTCGGCCTATGGACACATTATAAATCTAATTTTCAGCCATGACTAATGGCCAACGAACGAATATGTGGCAGTCTGCTGGAGG